CCTGCTCAACTTGAAGCTGTCCTCTCCACTGCTCGTGCAAACATCCCACCCTCCCACCCGCAACTTGGTCTCAAGACCTCTTAAGACCGTGACGGTGGGTACCAAATGGCAGTTGGCAGCGACGACGCCGACGTCGACGACGACGAAGACGACGACGCCGACGCCGACGACGACGAAGGCGACGACGACGTCGCCAACGAAGACGACGACGAGGAAGGAGGGAGGACGACGACGGCGACAACGACGACAACGACGACAACGACGACAACGAGGGAGGAGGGAGGACGGCGACGACGCGAACGACGAAGAAGGAGGAAGGATGGCGACGCCGACGACGACAACGACGAGGGAGGAGGGAAGACGACGACGAAACGACGACGACGACGGCGACGAAATAGGAGGGACGACGACGAGACGCCGACGACGGACGACGACGACGACGACGAGGGAGGAGGAGGAAGGACGACCACGGCGACAACGACGACGGAAACGACCACGACGCCAAAGAGGACGACGACGACGAACACGAGGAAAGACACAGGACGACGTAGGCGACGACGACGACGACGCGGGAGGAGGGAGGACGGCGACGACGACGACGACGACGCCGCCAGAGCACGCGCGCACGCTTTTGTTGAAAATCGGTGTTGCGAAACTTTTGGTTTTTGTAGGTCTTTTGGACACACGGTTTTGAAATCCTTCCGAAACCGACGGTTTTTGAAGGATTTCGGCATACGCGCGCGACGACGCGCGCGTCTGCAGTTCGTCCCGTTTTTTGCAGAGGATTCTCGCGACGGCACACGCGCAAGGGCGTTCGACAGATTTCGACATGCGCGCGCGGAGCCCGTTTAAGAGCATGTTGTGAAAATCTTGAAAAACGTATGGTTTTCTGGTGCGGAAACTTTTTTTTAGCACATCAGTGTTGCGAAACCTTGTTTTTGTATGTTTTTTTTGGAAGCTCGGTTGCTACATCCTTCCGGCACCGAAGGTTTTCGAAGGATTTCGGCATGCGCGCGCGACGACGCGCGCGTGTGCACTTTGTCCCGTTTTGTTGCAAGGGATTCGTGAACAAGTGTTATGTTATAACAAAAAAGGCACCGCATAGCGTTTCTCACAAGGGAACCATAGTGCAAATTCATATTTAGGATGGACATGTGGTCATAATCGTATATGATTTACATTCCTGAAAGGGGGAGTGATAACGCCGGGTGGGGGGAGAGTCTATTCTGTTTTTAGAAGGAGGATTGACTACCCAGCACCGCGCTTAACCACCTCCCATGCTTCTGCTGACTTCCCGCCCACCCACGTGTAATTTGGTTTGCAAAACCCATGCGGCGGTGATTGCGATGAATGGTTGACGTTGGCTGGTGCATCTCTGCGGCCGCGCTAGCCCGCGTATGCTCGCGCGCGCACAACGACCAGCTAGTTTAGCGCGACCGACGCGGCCGCGGTGGCGCTGACCGCTGGAATCTTCCCAGCGGGCACTTCCGTGCGGGTCGGTGACTTGGGCGTGCGCGGTATCATGGCGACGCCGACAACGGTAAACGCGATTATGAGAGTAGCGATTGTGACGAAAGGGGCGATGACGACGGCAAGGCCAATGACGGCGCCGATGTTGATCATGCCCGCCGATAACGGTGACGATGTCTTCACGTCGGCGATGAAGGAGTTCGACATGCGCGCGCGGCCGACGCGCGCGATTGGCCCGCGTGGTATTATTACGAAGGCCTGAAGGGGGACGACGACGACGACGACGACGACGACGACAGCGGTGGCGGCGGCGGCGGCAACGACGACGACGCTGGCGTGGGCCAGAGTCGTCGAGGATGGTTCTTGGGGTCGTATCGGAAGTCTCTCGGGGGCCTTTGGGGAGGAATTTTGAAGCCTTTGGGGGGCCTCTTGGGGGTTTTCTGGGAGCCTGTTAGGGGCCTCTTCGGGTTTCCTGGGTTTTTTTTGTTGGCATACTGGGGCCTACTGGAAGTTTCTTTGGGCCGAGGGCTCGCAATGTGTGTTGGGGGCATTTGTTGCCGAGGGTTTGGGCACGCTCTTGGATCCATGTTAGGGGCATTTGGGGCCGTTTTGGAGGCGTTTTGGGCTGTCTTGGGGTCTTTCAGGGCTTTGTTTTAGGGTTTTCTTGGAGACCTCTTGGGTTGTTTTGGGGAGATTTTGGAGGGCTTTGGCGCCGTGTTGGAGCGGCGGGAATGGGAAAAAACGCGACCGCCCAAATCTTAAAATAACTAATGACAAATATATGAATTTTGTTTTGGGGGCCTGTCGGGAGTGTTCCTGGAGGCGGTTTGGGGCGTCCGGGAGGCCTCGTTGGCAGTGTGGAGGGCGTGAAATCGTTTTGGACCGATCGTTTGGCGATTAGGGGCTCTCTTGGACCCTTTTGGCGGCCTCTTGGGACACTCTTGGCCTGTCTTTGTATTTTCCGAAGCTTAAGGGCCCCCAAGGGGGGAAAGTGTATTTGTGTGGGGACCCCCCCCGGGACCCCCCAGGACCCCCCCGTGACCCTCCCCCCCATGGCGCGGGGAAGGGATCAAAGGGAAGGGGTTTCCTTTCGATCCGCTTGCGACATTGCTAGTTCTTTCTCTTTCTGACAAGCTTGAGGAGGAGGGCGCAGGGAAAGGGGGCGACGGAGACGACGACTGACGGAGACGACGACTCGAACAGCCAAGCCCCTCACACACGCCGCCAGGGTCGGCGGATTTGATCCGGATCGTGCCCCACCAGCACGCGCGCAAGGGCTTTCGAATGATTTCGGCATGCTGCGCGAGAGGCCCGTCTGTTAGAATTCAATGGACATGTTGGAACATGTCATTGTTTCCTTAAGAATTCACAAGAACGCGAGCGCAGTTTTTGTTTGAAAGCTGTTGTTGCGAAGCCATATGATTTTATATGTTTGTTGGACACTCGATATTGACATCCTTACGAAACCAACGATTTACGACTGATTTCGGCATGCGCGCGCGACGACGCGCGCGTGTGCACTTCGTTTTTGTTGCACTGGATTCTCGCGACAGCACAGGCGCAAAGACGTTCGAACGATCTCGACATGTGCGCGCGAAACCCGTTTGGTAGTTGTTGATGAATAGGTTGAAAAACCGATGGTTTTCTTAAGATTTCGCAAGAGCGCACGCGCAAGTTTTGTTGAGAGCACCCGTGCTGCGAAGCTATTTGCTTTTATATGTTTTGTTGCACATTTAATTTTGAAATCCGGACGAAGCCTACGGTGTTCGAAGGATTTCGGCATGTTGACATTTGATGATTTGTTGTAAACGATTGCGCGCGTATACTTTTTTGGCAAAGGATGATGGTGCGGTCGATACTGGTTGGGCTGGGATGGTACGAGGTGAAATTCAGGACGTGCAATGGGGCAGCATCATATGTAAATCGTAATACCATAAAAGGGGAACGGATAATCCCTGGGGGGGTAGAATCTAATTTCTTCCAAGAAAGGAGGCGGTGCAATCTACGTTGTGCAATCTAGGGCGGCGACAGGGCGACGACGGGGCGGCGACGGCGACCATGGAGCCGACAAACCGGCACCCACGCCCAGACGACGGGCGGCGACGAAGAGGCGACGGATCGGCGATGGCGCTTTGGGAAAGTGTCATTGTCGGAGGTTGGGGGGTGAGATCGCAGTGAACAGAGACCCCTACCGGGAATCGTTTCGTTGATTGTGTGTCGTGCGTGCGGGCGAGGCGACGCTTCGTGGGCGCGCGACAGGACTGAACCCGCCGTTGCTATGGCGAAGTCAAGACAAATGATTCTCCCCCGTCCGTCCGTCCGTCCAGCGGTGGCTCGCGGTGTCCCGCGGTGTCCCGTGGTGTCCGCCGTTGCTAGGGCAAAGTCAAGACAAATGATTTTCCCCCGTCCGTCCGTCCGTCCGGCGGTGGCTCGCGGTGACCCGCGGTGTCCCGTGATGTCCCGTGGTGTCCCGTGGTGTCCGCCGTTGCTATGGCGAAGCCAAGACAAATGATTCTCCCCCGTCCGTCCGTCCGTCCCGCGGTGGCTCGCGGTGTCCCGCGGTGTCCCGTGGTGTCCCGTGGTGTCCCGTGGTGTCCCGTGGTGTCCGCCGTTGCTAGGGCGAAGTCAAGACAAATGATTCTCCCCCGCCCGCCCGTCCGTCCGTCCGTCCAGCGGTGGCTCGCGGCGTCCCGCGGTGTCCCGTGGTGTCCCGTGGTGTCCCGTTGAGTGAGATCGATACTGAGATCGATCTGGTATCCTGTGGTGTCCCGTGGTGTCCCAAAAACTGAGATCGATAGTGAGATCGACAGGTGTCCCGTGGTGTCCCGTGGTGTCCCGTTGAGTGAGATCGATAGTGAGATCGTAGTGAGATCGATACTGAGATCAATACTGAGATCGATGTGGTGCCCCGAGGTGTCCCGTGGTGTCCTGTGGTGTCCCAAAAAGTGAGATCGATAGGGAGATCGATAGTGAGATCGACAGGTGTCCCGTGGTGTCCCGTGGTGTCCCGTGGTGTCCCGTTGAGTGAGATCGATAGTGAAATCGATTGAGTCTGATGTTGGTTTCCCCCCTCTCTCCCCCCCACAACCTCCTTCTCACCCGAAGGATGGTCGCATGGGTACTCGTGAGTGCCGCAGCCCGCACACTTTGACCAGCCCCTGGATGCCATCATCCTCGCTTCAGCCACCGAGATAGTCTGCAGGAAACTGCGTCAGGAGAGCCGGGTGCCCCTCAAATACCACGTGGAAGTGTGAGGACGTGTATTCGTGCGCATATCAAAAGAAACGCTCGAGCTCAAGTTTCTTGAGGGTGGAGGGAGTGGAGAGGCAAAGGGACGAGGGGGGAGGGAGGAGGGAGGAGGGAGGAGGGAGGGTGGAGAGATGGGAGAAAGGGGAGAGAGGGGAGGGAGGGAGGGAGGGAGGGACGTGGAGGAGGAGGAGGAGAAGGAGGAGGAAGGTAGGGAGGTAGGGAAGCCGAAAGGATGTGGGGAGGTGTGGGGAGGCTCTGGAGCTCCCCTTGCCGTCGGAGAGGTCAGTGCCATGACCGGCGACGGCGTCAACGACGCGCCGGCCCTCAACGCAGCCGACATCGGCGTCGCCATGGGCATCCAGGGCACCGAGGTCGCCAAGGCCCTCCTCCTCCCCTCCTACAAATTTCGTTTTACATTTACACGATGTGAATACTACTTTCCTCTCCCGTGATTACGTCCAGAAGATATCCGGCCCCCCTCCGCGTACTGTTGTTTTTGGCACAGGATTCCCGGGAATTGGGTTTTCGCTGGGTTTTTTGTTGCAAAATGTTGTTCCCGCTGAAGCGCTGGCCTCATTTCCGCGCTTCCGCTCGTTCCGAATCGTGCTCCCACTGCAGCGCTGGACTCATTTCCGCGCTTCCGTTCGTTCCGAATCGTGCTCCCGCTGCAGCGCTGGACTCATTTCCGCGCTTCGCTCCCGCTGCAGCGCTGGCGCTATTGTCTCCAGTACCATGCCACGGCATGGTTTTCGGTCCTGCCGAACAGGCTCCAAAACTACAAGAATGGCCCCCTGAAAAAAACATCGGAAGTGATTACACATTCGGTGTCGATTCGTTGTTTTTTGGGGCCGCTGAAGCCCCCCCCCCAAAGCCCCCCACTTTGGGGCGTCGCCACGCCATGCTATGTCATGCTACGCGTTGATCCTCAACGTCACGTTATGCCATGTAATGCTATGCCATGCTACGACATCCGACTGTGCGAATAGAGAGGATATCTACGCCATGGTAAGGGATGGGAGGGAGGGGTAGGACGTCAGATATGACGCGAACGCACCTAGCTTGTCCATCCCCCCCTCTCCCTACTCCTTCCTCCGCTCCTCCCCCTCCCCAGTTCTTCCTCATCTCCCCCTCCTTCTCCCCCTCCCCAGTTCCTCCTCATCTTCCCCTCCTTCTCCCCCTCCTCTTCCCCGCGCCCTCCTCCCCCCTCTTCCCCTCCTCCTCCTCTCCCACTCCCGTTCTCCTTCTCCCCCCCGATCGACAACTACAATTTGAGGGTCGGGCCTGCACTTTCAAAAGGATAAGTGTCTTGCAGACTGGAGGAGAACATGCCCTTGGAATGGATGTCGAACATTCGTTTTGCAGATGTTCGATCCTCTGGGTCCTCCTGCTTCTCCCATCTGGCCTCTCCTCCTTCATCCATTTCTCCCTATAGATAACTCCTCCCTGCCGCACCCGGTAGGGCTGACCGGGCGTTTCGCCTTCGAGTGAGGCACCATTCGGGACTGTGAGGCTAGAACTGTGCAACAATTACATGTGTGGAGGGGGGTGTTTTCAAGATTGGGTTTTCTCCTCAGCGCCGAGCGCATTCGTTTGTCAAGATGTACAACAACTAAAAGGTTGGAGGCGTGGGGTGAGTGGTTTCGAAACGCAACTTTCGCCTCATCGCCGCGCAATTTCGTCCTAAAAGTTAGCAATAGCTATTCACGGAGATGCAGGGCTGTTCTTTTCAACATGGCGTTCTCGCTCGAAACTTTCAGGTATGTAAAGATCCGAGACTTGAACGTGTATACCGGTTGCACGGATGGATGGTTTTAAACATTGGGCTTTCGTTTGAGGTTTTCTCGAAGTTCATGATCAGACGTGTAAGCTCGCGCAGCAAGTCCCTCTCCACAACGGGGATCCCGCTGGACACTTCGTTGAGCTGTGTGATCATACATTTTCGCACTCCCGCTAGGAGGATGACATGCGATTCCTTTCAAAACAGGGCCTGCGCAATTGTTGCCATGTTCGTTGGCTCCTGGTAGGCCCAGCGCAACGGTCATACGCAGATCCAGACTGGACCTCACGGCTGCCTTGGGGTGCTGTCACCTGCGCAATTGTCGTCACTTTCGCGGGCTCATGGGATGCCCAACGCAGTGGTATCATACCCTTATCCAGACTAGGCCGCGCGGCTCCATGGGGGTGCTGCCACCTGCGCAACCGTCGTCACTTCCGTGGGCTTCTGGGAAGCCCAGAGCAATGGCTTCTTACGCACATTCAGGACAAACCTTTCGTCTCCCTGGGGGTTGTGCTAACTGCACAATTGTCGCATAGGCTTCGCGGCTCCATGGGGTGTTGCCACCTGCGTACTTGTCGTCTTTTTCGTGGGCTCCTCGGAGGCGAAGCGCCGCGGTGTCATACGCACATCTTGACTAGACCTCGCGGTCCCCTGGGGGGGGACCTGCGCAACCGTCGCCACTTTCGTGGGCTTCTGGAAATCTCAACGCAGTGATGTCATACGCATAACACCACTGTGCTGACATATTCGAGGGTACTGCATCATGCAGCTAGTTCCCGTGAATAGAGAAACGCGTACCTCCCGCGTAAATGTCATAACCACTTGCAACACGTGTCATGCCATTTGTCATGTGTGGCAGATGGGTGGGGTACGTCACTCGGTATATTTTGATGGCGTTGTCCTCGGCCTTCGATCTTCGATCGAGGGCCGAAGTTCTTGGACGCCCCAGAGGATCGAACACCCGTACTTTGGAGGTCGCGCCCTCGCTTTAGAGGTAGTCCAGAATGGGTCGAACATCGGTTTAAGGTTCTCCTCCTCCTCCTCCTCCTCCTCCTCCTCCTCCTCCTCCTCCTCCCCATCGCCGTCAGGCCGAGGCAATTTTCAAATGCCTCGCCTCCGCGGATAAGCGGTGCAGCTTGGGCTCCGTGTGGCACTGCCTGAATGCGGTGTGGGTCCGATGATGTTATGTTCCTTGGCCCGCCCCCTCGCGGGTACGAAAAGGAACGGGCGGAGGGCGGCATTTCCCTCTGGGAGGTTCGTGGTCGCTCGTTGTCGTCCTTCGTGTCTCGCTTCGTCGTCGTGTCCGTCGCTTCTTCCCTCTTTGGGAGTTGCGGCACGGCCTTGGGTTGAGTTCCGGGGTGGACGTTGTTTGCGCTCCTGGGCCAGCGGGTGGCCCTCCTCCTTCCCCGCCCCTGCTGCCGCCGCTGTCGCCGTTGCAGCCGTCAGGCCAGGGCTGTTAGTGCCCTGCCACCTCGGCCAAAAGGTGCGGCCTGGGCGCGGGGAAACCCCAGTGGCACCTCCTGGTCTGAGGTGGACCGCCGTTGACGATCACGGAGGCGGGGCCCGCGGCTTCCCGCCTGTAGCCTCTTGGTCGCAGTGCCCTTGCCGCGGGCGTACTGTTGTCGTGCTTGTGGGGGTGCGGGCGCAGGGCAATGCTCCGCATATTGTCCCTTGGGCGCCGATCTCGAACCCCCTTGCGCCAGTTTGGCGCGGGGTGCAGGGCGGTCCTGGGTTTGCTTTTCTTGTCCTTGATTTCCTCCCTAAGGCGCAGCGTTTCCGGCGCTATTGGGAGTTAGCCAGAGAAGGGAAGCCGGAGGTCAGGTCCCAGCTTGTGTCCGTGATAACCCCCTTTTTGCACGTGTGCCCTTGGTGGTGGCCGTTGGCCGCGTTGGCCGTTTGCCAGGGCACGTTGGCCCGCGCTTCGTTGAGCGCCGCGGTTTTGTTCTGCCTTTGGGCCGCCTGCCAACATTCCTCCTCCCCATTTTCTTCTTCCTCCTTCTCCTCCAGGTCCTCCATCGTAGGATTGGGTTCTTGTTATTCAATCGCTTCGCTGATTCCGCCAGCCCTGGAGCGCTCTTTTGGGCCTCTTTGGGGCCTGTTGGGGGCCTTTTGGGGGCCTCTTGAGGCTCCTTGGCGGCGTCTTTGGGGGCACCCGGGGCCTCTTAGGGGGCTCTTGGTCTTGGGGGCCTCCTGGGGCGGGAGGGGGAGGTATTATTCCTTGTCCTCAGCCGCCTCTTCCGTTTCCGTCTCTTGTATCGTTGCCCTCGATGGACGGGCTCATAGTTCGCATATTGGAACTTTTTTGGCGCGCCCCGGGTCGACCGCGAGTCAAACGGGAGTGGACCAGGACGTAGCTGAAATATCCAGTTGCCTTCGGTGTATCCCGCCAGGTTGGCCTCTGTAAGACTTCTGGGATGCAAATTTGAAGGTTCGACTGAGAGTCGGACGGGAGTGGACCGGAACGTAGCTGAAATACGCAGTTGTCTTCGGCGTGTCCCGCCAAGTTGGCCTCTGCAGGAGCTCTGGGATGCATCTTTGAAGCATCGACCGAGAGTCACGCGGGAATGGGCCGGGACGTAGCTGAAATATCAAGTTTTCGTTTGGCGTGTCCCGCCAGGTTGGCCTCTGTAGGACCTCTGGGATGCAGGTTCGAAGCTTCGACCGAAAGTCGGACGGGAGTGGGCCGGGACGTAGCTGAAATATGCAGGTCGGACGGGAGTGGGCCGGGACGTAGCTGAAATATGCAGTTGTCTTCGGCGTGTCCCGCCAGGTTGGCCTTTGTAGGACCTCTGGGATGCAGGTTCGAAGCTTCAAGGAACGTCTAGGAGGTACTTTCTTCGGAACCTCTGGGAGCGTTTTGGGGCCCTCTGGAGGCCTCTTGGAACAAGTGTTTTAGTTCCTTGGAGCGTTTTGTGGCGTCTGTGGGGTTTCTTCGAATCCTGGGGGCCTCTTTTGGGCCTTTGGTGGCCTCTTGAGGGCCTTTTGGAGGCCTTTGGCGGCGTCTTGGGTGCCTTTGGGGCCTGTTTGGGGGTTCTTGGGGAGCTCTTGGGGTGTGAGGCGGAGGTAGTTGATTGCGGCTTCTCCCTCCGAGGCCACGATCCTGGTGAGGGGTGTCGAAAAATGGCCCTCCCTGGAGTGCTCTGGGGGGACCTGACCGGGACCTGGCTGGGGTACTTTTCGCCCAGGGGGCCCCAGGGGCCGCCCCGCGCGCGCGAACTAGAAATATCGCTAACCAGTTGCGGGAGATTTTAGCACGCCTCTGGCCCGTTGGGCCGGCGAATTAGTGTGCGACGCTTCCGCTTCCTCAGATTCCCGCTTTCTGTCTCCCACACGCAGACTCATGAACATTCAGACTCACTTGCACTCCCACCCGCGTGCACTCAGACTCGCCCATACTCTTATTCATATTCATATTCATACTCAGACTCACGCGTACCAAGACCCATTTACATCAACACTTACTCACATTCAGAATGACCTACTCACATTCCGACTAGTACTACTCTCACCGCACATTAAGACGCATTGATGCACAAACCCACTCACATTCAGACTCACTCATACTCAGTCTGATCCCACTCAGACCCGCTCATATTCAGCGTG